TTAACAGCAACCCAGTTGTATACCTTCCATTAAGCTCCCAACAGGGTCCCACAGTCTTCAGAACACCTGCATCAAAATGGTCCTTATGTAGCCCCTGAAGGGCGGCCCCTTTCGTCCCTGCATAATCTGAGATAGTCCTTGATACCCTTGTTTTGGCGATACTTTATAAGCTCTACAGTCTAAACCCCTACGTCCCCGCGCTGCTGCTTACGGTCCCTGACATTACCCTTTGCCCTACCTGCAACCCCAACTTTCTATAGTTCAGGAGCAGTGACCCCCAACAATCAAAATATGTAGTCTTAACAATAATAAAGCTGACCCTGGAGCTCAAACTCTATAAATAATACCTACCTTGGGCCCTAAACCCTAGAAATTGTACCTACATGGAGTTTCAGGGGTAGGCAGTTGCCCTAAACCGGTTCAAAATCCTCAAAGTCAGCCTGAGCCCATAGGCCTCCCAGCTCCCGTCGCTCAACGACGTACTTTGCCACCTTGCAGAGCCTGGGCAAGTCTGCTGGGTTGAGGTTGACGGCTACCTGGACCCCCAAAGTATGTAGAATAATGGCCTTTTGGGCCATATTCAGGGGATTTGGGCCATTATTTTACCTACTTTGGGGGTTTAGGTAGGGTTTTGGGTTTGGGGTTCAGGGTTTAGGATTCGGGGCTTAGGAATCTAGGTTTGGGGCGCAGGGTTCGTTCAGTTAAAGTTTTTGAGTCAAGGTTTGGGGCAGCTTGGAGGTCAACAGGACTTGAACCTTAAATGCTCACACACATCTTGGTACTCCGTTGCTAAGTTTATGCTGATGCTGTTTCTGCTGGGCTCTACGCCGCTTATTATCACATGAGGGTTGTTCTAAAGGTCCTTGTCTTCGGCTTATATTTGGGCGACCAATTTCAGCTGGTTTAAAGGACTCGCGAAAGTTTCGCGAAAGAAGACGCGAAAGGAGTACACTTTATCGCGAAAGATGTGTGATAGCAGTGTCGTTCGGTAAAATGCGATGATTCGCGAAAGGAACTTTGGACTTCGCGAATGAAGCATCGCAAGCTTCAGTTCCTTACGCTCGGTTCAAACATTTCCCTCCTTGCAGTCCGATGGCAGGGAGATCTCTTGTATCACCCAGCCGATTTGCACGAAGCTTTTCATGAAATTCCCTT